TATTCTTAAAAGCTACATTTCTAACCCCCTAGTCTGAATTTTGACTGGAACACCCCTAAAAGTAAGAATTATGAGTTTGATAGTTGGGGAAGACAATCGTACCCCACTTCCACATTGAAGATGGCTACTACTCTCTTCAGCAGTAGTAAAAAACTTTCTTACTTTGGCAGTTTCTATCGTTTATGTACAGTAGCAGCCATTCAAAATGGCCCTTCCCAGCCGAATGGCTCCCCACTTCGCTGCACCTTACACCAATATCCCCTCCAACTTCCAGCCACTGGAGTGACCCCTTCTTGCATATTTTTTACTCTGACTAAACTTTCAGCAAATTGCAGAGTCTGACCAGGAGATCATGCTTTCTTTTTAGATCCTAATGTCCACAAATCATGACAGAAAGAATATTTTAGTACAAAGATTAATGTTTAAAAAGGAATTGTAGGGGACGAGCCAAGGATAAGGCAGACATAAATGAAGTCATTTTAGATTAATCTGGACACTTAATTTCTGAGAAAAGTCATCCTTTATACATTTAAATCAACCAGTTCTCACCCAAATTGCTCATCAGTCATGTTGCAGTATTGTGGTTAAAGAAGGACCATGTAGCTTTGAAGAAAAGTCAAACCCACTACCAAACCAAAATAAACATGGCAGCGCCGGAGGACATACGTGTTTCGTCAGAATCCACGACTTTATCTTTCAATGTGGAAGAACAACAGTGTTCGGATGGTTTCTGCTGCTTTATCATTTTTAATTGTGATTGGCTAACATCAAACTTTGGTAGACAGACACTAGGTGTCACTTTGCTTCAAAAACTGAAAAGTTTCCGCTGAATTGCCCTTCTTTCCCTGAACTGATTTCATGGAAGCTGTTCCAACTTTTTAATATGCAGAATTAAACCTGATTGCTTCTATATTTAGTTCTCCAAAATTAGAATGTGCCTCATGGAAGAACCATTCATAAAAACAAATTTGTTCTTAAAGCTATCTTATGAAAGATTTTTAAGAGAATGTGTCGCTTTCAATGTTTTTCTCTGATTTCAGACTTCAGACTTGACCTCTTGGGCAATCAGTCAGCTGTTAACCAAACTTAGTTTTTCACTAAAAAACTACAGCAATTGTCCATTTTATTTGACTACATCTTTATATTTTTATGCAACTCTGCAATTATAAATTGAAATTTAATTCACTGATGACAAAGCTACAGGTATCAGTCACTGCACCTGCAGCTGGGATGTCGGTATCCAAGGGACGTTGCTTTAATTTTTTTATCATTCAGTCAAAAGAAAGGTCAGTCAGAGATCAAGCTACTATAGAAATAACATCTGGAACAGAAAATGGATGGAAAGTTCAGAAGAAATCCTCTAACAGTGAGACTTGCATTGATTTCATCGTAGTTTCTTGGCTTTTATTTTACACTAGATGTGGAATATTTGTGTTTGGGTCTGTCTGACTTTGTTAAATTATAGATTTACAGTCAACATTTTATATAATGCTTATACATGCGAGAGAGATGGCGAGTTCATAGAAGGGTAGAAGAAGTGATTTGGAGAAATACAGCACAGGTGTGTCTGTGTATTAAAAGGGGATTTAGCAGAATGTTGTCGTGTTGGTTAATCTCTAACTTATATTAAGCATTTACATAATATGTAGCACCTCTTGCCCCCATCAGTAGTTTTTTATTGAATGTTTTTGGATCAAATGATTTTTATAGTTTTTATACCTTTTTTTAACTTCTGTAACAGTGTAACCACGGCATGTACAGCCCTTGTTATTTATTTCTCACTGTTTGGCTTTTTACAGGTCCTTTGATTATTGTGCTCAGTTTTCAGTCAGCAGACCTCGATTAACAAACCTTTAAAGATTTTCTTCTTCATCCTCAGTGCCATTTCTATGAAAGAACACCTGCGTGTTCACAGAGACGTGGGAACATGCAGGGTGGTTATTATACAGCTTTCTGTTTCTCACAGGTGGAGTGCATCACGTTTACGAAAATCATTTACTTAAGTTAAGAATGTTTTTTTGAATCTGACATGTCATGTTCGTAAATTGAAGTCAGAGAAAAAGTACGAAAAGTTTACAACAAGAATACAAAAATTTTGTTGCATGAGGCTCAATGAGTCAATAAATGAAAAAAGTTCTGAATATTTGGTTGTTTTAGCCAAAGATTTAATTTGCAGGCAGTTGTAGAGATGGATATTGGGTCATCCAAATGCAACTTACTTTGCTGGTCTCTTCATTTAGCTACTGAGGGAAGCTCTGTGGTTTTTTGCTCTGGCAACAGAAACTCACTTAAAGAGAGGTGCTAAGAGGCCCCGGAGGGGTCGGAAACACATGCAGAGAGAAGCCACACTTATTTGCCAGATGCACCAAAAAGAGGTACAAAACCTCATAAAATCTTATTTGCATGCAGCAGAAGAGGTGCACTCTTGCAAAGATGCTAAAAACAGACACATGCTTCTACCTCTTAGTCTCCACTTCACAGCAAAACCTGTCAGCCTATAAGTGGTGGAAGAGACAGGGTCAGGGAGGCTGGGAGTCAAGATGGGCCCGATTAATTAGGCAGTTTTCTTTCTCTTGAGACGATGATAACGACTGATGCAGCAGCCCTTGGCCACAGCGGGCAGGTTTGGAGAAGCAGTCGAGGAGAGGTGGAGTGGTTGGTGGGTGGAGGTTTGGTTTCACAGGTTAAGAAGTCCTTAAATACTCCAGTTTTTAAACCCAACGTACTCAGAAAAAAACTTGAACTAACAAAATGCCGTTTTGAAAGGATAAAGGTGTCACATACTGCTTTGTGAGTTTTGCTGTGGCCCATGATAAACAGCATAATGTTACATTTGTGCAGACATTCTGCATAGGGCTAAATGAAATGGGCTCTTAATTAATGTTTATATAAAATCATTGTGCTTGTTATGGAGAGTGCTATAGCTGCACAAAGTTAATAGTGTTTGATATTATAACCCCAAAAAGTGTTACAATAATACCCATAGCCTGGACTTTCCAATATTTGACACTTAGGAAGATGTTGATGTAAACTGGCCAAGAGCCCAGGGAAAAATGCTACTATTTCATGACAAGTGACACACCTCCTCCTCCCCCACCTTGGCTCCAATTTGTCCTGACTCAACACTTTCTAGACCACCATTAACCACAGTCGGCATGTCAGAGCGTGGTGTGGGAGCAAGATAAGCAGATATTAGCTGGGCTCCCCATCAGCAGAATGCCCCCCGGGAGGAGTAGGAGAAGGGGAACTGCTGGGTGTGAGGCTTGGCTGGGCATGAGTGGGCAGTGAAGGGCATGAGATGGCAAGGACAGCTGAGGCCATTTCCCATTGAGGTTGGGGTTGCATGTCATAGTGAGGCTGTACTGATCTGGTTTCAAAAATACATTACATTGGATTTGAGTTCTTACTAAATGTAATCAAAGTAGGATTGAATTCAATTAAGTTTATCTATAATGCACCAATTCCAATGCCATTATGACACAACAATAGGCCCGTGAGCAACATTATCTGGGTGACCCCCATATGAAGTACAACACCCCACATCTACCCGCCCCCCTGCCGCCGCCGTAGACAACCGACCCAAAATGTGCCCATACATACACACTTCATCATTTCATCATTTTTCACCTTTACTAGACATGAATATACTTTAGTATAGTCTGCTTTAAACTGAGTCTTACCGGGCTACCTTAAGTTTTACAGCTCCCCTCCTCACCCACACTCTCTCCATTCATCTCCTGGTCGCAATCTTTACTAACTGTAGCAGCAGCAACGTCCGCCTCTCCTTCTTTGGTTCTTTGGAAAAATATGTTTATTTTGGGAAGCTTTTTCTGTTCTTCCATTAGCTCTTCTTTCCTTTTTTTTTCTTTTCTGGAATCTGCTTAAGTACCTCTTTTTGGTATCCATCGTCTCTAACACATTGTACATGACGGTTATGGTTTTAATCTACGCTCTGGATTACCCATAATTTCAAGTCGTACTGTAAAAAATAAAACACTGAAATACATTGTTCTTTTAAGATCTTTTTTGCGGTTTGAAACATATTATATGAGTGTATTTTTTACAAACCGTCTTATGAACTATACACAGTTATTAACATAGTAATTAAAAATACCACTGTCTGCTTTGCTATTGGTGTCATGTTTAAAAGGCTCACCATCCTGTTGAAATCTGCCATGTGTTGCGGTATAAATAACGTCAGGTCAGTCAACCTAGTATCAGGTGGGTTTAATAGATGTCCTAGTCCACAAATGCGTAGGGGCCCAACCAGATGTCAGTGACGGGCCCCTAAGAGGTCCGGGTCCTCAAAGCAATTGCAGTCTCTGCTTACCGAGAGTTACGCCATTGACCAAATCACAACACATGTCATCTCAAGGTACTTTACAGAGCTATTTCAACCAGATTATACAGTCAGATTGGTTCAAAGTTTTCTATCTAAGAAAAACCAGCTGATTGCATCGACTCATTGACTCAAAAGCAATCCCTCACACCTCGCAATCTTGTAGTGACAGTGGTGAAGAAAACACTTCAGGAAGAACAGGACGAAAGCTCATTACAAAAAAGTAAAAAAACAATCCACTGGAATTTGTTTCCAAATTTGAAGACATTTCACTTCCCATCCAGGAAGCTTTTTTAATTCAAAATCTCAGAAGTTGTGTTGAGTTTGAGGCGTTATAGAGTGGACCAAAACACAAAGTTTTGTTTTGGCTTAGAAAACATGCAAATTGAACTTGATGAGCAGGTCCGTCCCTTTGGAATGGGGGTGGTTTGGTTTCTTTCAGGTATTAGCCTGTAATACCCGATACCGGTCTTTTCGCTGAAAGGGGGGTCATTAAAGGGAATTGTTGGCCTGGATAAACAGGCGAGGTGTTCTGTTCCACTGTAAGGGGGTGGGGGTTGCTACGATAGTGGGAAGGAATCAGATCAATCGCTTAATTTTAGATTTTTGAAATCTGAGTCTACCCCCTCCATTTAAAGTTGTTTTTTCTTTCTTAACATAGATGGCTTCCTGCACGTCCCTCTCAAACCGCCTATCTTCTTAAGGAAGAAAGGTCCAGCAGAACCAGGATCAGTGTGAGCGGCTATCTGCTTGAAGCTAACTGGGGTTCGAGGAGACAGAAGTAGACATACAGAAAGAAGCAGAGACACAAAAGGTAACTGTTAACCAGCTACACAGGTGGTCTCTTCCAGGAATCACACAGTCAGGCAGACAAACAAAGGTGTTGACAGCAGCAGCACTGCTTATATCTCTCTCCAGGATGGTGTCACAGCCAAACAGGAACAGACCAGATGAAGCTACTATGATGAGAAAAAGTAGAAAGAGTATAACGTTAGATATTGAGCTAACAAATCCCACAGGATGGGAGAATATAGAATGAAGCAGAGTGATGAAAAAGGGTCCCCATGTCCTCTTGCAGTCTAAGCCTATAGCAGCTTAACTAGAAGTCACTCTAACTAGAAGCTTTATCAAAAAGTGACTCAAAGTGATTATTTTGATTTGTAGATATTTTATACTCCCAAAGGAAAGGAAAATCTTAAATAATGATTGATCTCTAAGATGTTTCATGTATTTCTCCTAGACAACGATGAGATATGAGTGACACCAAAAAGAGAGTAGGGTATATTTCTCCTGTGTCTCTTTTTTTTCCCACTGGAACAATAAGATATACTGAAGCTCGATTAAGTCTCAAGTTTCAGGGTAGATCTCAAAAAGCTCAAATATAATTCTTAGACTTACCCAACATTTGTTTCTCCTTCTGATCTCAGGCGGAAAAATCAGAGAGCTCTCAACATGAACTAAATCTAGTCTCATCATAGTTTTAGTTCATGCTCTGACAGAACAAAGGAGGAGCTCTCCACAAGCACTCCTTTCATGGTGAAGACAAGATCTCAACAAGCTCTAACATCATTCTCAGTGTCTCTTTGTGACCTGAGAAAGGAAAATCAGAGGGCTCGCTCTATGAACTCTCTCTCATCACAGCTTTGCTCAACACAACATTCCTAGAACTGACTCCACATTCAAAACAGTATGAGACTCTTAGATATATAGAGAAGAATTAGATGTTTCTGTAAAACAAATGTCAGTAGGCAAATCACCTGATGAATATGTTTTGACTTCCAATTTTTATAATTTATCTTGGGATACTTAAACAAATTGTTATTCAAAGCTTTAAAAGAATGTATTGAAAAATATTATTATTTAATGCCAAATATAAAACAAGGATTCATTACATTATTACTCAAAATCAGGAAAAGAAAAGATATATCGATAATCTGAGGCCAATAACTTTATTGAACGTAGATTACAAATGATTCACCCTTATCTTCTCAAATCGACGGGAATGTGATTTGGAATAGATCGTGCATGAAACCTAATCAGGATTCATAAAGGATTGGTCTATACACAACAATATTAGGTTGGCTCTTAACTTAATATACTATAATTTGTGTATTGAATATATAAGCATCTGACTATATAGAGCATTCATTTTGGCTTGCCATGATGGTGTGTGAGTGGCAGGGGTGTGAGTGGGTGCTTTTGTTTTCAATACATTTTTATGGACCTTTAAGGGAAAATGGCACGTTGTGTGGTCCGACTGCTCTTTGTGAGCAAAACTAATGAGACACGTATATGTGCGTATGGTTGAATAGGTTTTAATGTGTTTTGCAATTTTTGCATATTATCTTATTTCTCCTTGTGAATTCTACGTGAAACGTTTGAGACAAATTAAAAACTAAAAGTAGGCCAAGTTTAAAAACTCAGATATGTCTCATGAGCTATGTGAGAGCAAACATTGATGGGTGAAATTTTCCACCGGGCTGTTTTAACTTACTAAGATAGATGTATGTATGTCTTATCAACCAAAAAAAAGAGGCACCATCTTCATCTAGCATCTAAAGATCTCTCGGAGAATAGGCTAGAAAAAGATACTACCAAATTGAACTAATTGGTCTATCCATTCCATCCACCCATCCAGACCAATCCTGTAGCATACTGGAAACTGTGACAGAGGTTTACCTTCTAACAGGATGGCTCTAAGCCATAAGCAAGAACTTAAATGAATTGGTTCCCAAAGTCCCTTCATGTGTTCAAATGGCCTAGTAAAAGGTCTGACCTAAATCTATTCCAGATTATTTAAGAATAACTGATAGCTGATTTTTGTAAACAGTTTTTAAACATTTTAATTGAACTTGAGGAAACTTGCAAGGAAGAATGGGTTGAAATTTCTCTAAATATGCAAAGATGATAGAGAAATACCCTAAAAATACTTTTTGGATTGAAATAACACAATTGTTATTTAGCATCATTTTTCCTCCACTGTAAGGGAATGCAGTATTACTATCAAATGTGTTTTTTTCTCTATAAGAAAATACAGTTGAAGTTTTTGATTGCAATGTGGTAAATGCTGGAAATGTTTAAGTGGTCTGACTGCTACAATAAGGCACTAAAGGTAAAAGGTTTACTGCTGGTTTGCACTATACAACCTCCAAATCCAGATTTGTAAGTTTTAAGGTCTTTTGAAACAATTTGTTTGAAAATAAGAGCTCAAGCAGAACAAACACTTTTTGCCGCAGTAGATTTATTGCTCTGGCCAAAGTCAGCACTGCAGGATTAAATAAGTTTGGAGCTGCGGTCAGCTCTCTGGAAACCAAGCTGTTCTGCACCTCCTTCATTGCTCTCTTCCTACATATTTTCCTCCGTCTTACTTAATGGTTAGATTTCAAACCAAAAAATAAAAAAATAAATAATCTCAAACAGGACAGCTAAATATTCTACTAGCATGTTGACTCATCAGCACACCAGCCACACAAATAAATAAACACACTGACTCATGGATATGCACACATCAAATAACTGCTGGAGTACAAACAAGGGGAAGTACACACTGCAGGAATGGAACACTGTCACAAAGAATCCATTCATTTAAATCAGGGCTGTACCCACATACGTCCAAACACTGCACTTTTAATAGACCTCTGCCTCTTTACGGCTCTCCGCATCTTAAACCCATCAATCCGCCGCTCTGCTCCTCTTCCTTCTCTCCGTGTTTCTCCGCCATATCTGATCGGAGCAGTGATGCAGCCTCCCTCCATCCTTCTCATCCAGCCCCTCTGTGTTTGCCCACTAAATCGCCTTTCTTTCACAACCAACTCTGTCATTCTCTTTCATTTTACCACTTTTTTGGGGGGTGTTTTGCTCCCTTCTTATTTCGTTCATTTCTTCATTCTTTTCCTGTGCTGAGAAGGCTTGAGCCAGTGCAGGGGCAGTGCATGTGAAGAGGGATTAGATAAAGGAGAAAAAGTGAGAGAGGCTGAGCTGAAAGTGAGTCAGAGAAAGAAGCCAAGGACAGCAAACAAAAAGAGACGGATCGACTTGGAGGCTGTAAATGAGCTTTAGGGAGGGATGGATTGAACAGATGCTGCGCGACCCATTGAGCAGCATAGATATCAACTTGTAGCAGATCAAATTTCTACATCTATTTATCTGTTTCAATAAACAACTCAAACTTTCACTAATGATGTGTGATGATTATTAAAGCAGGCTTGCAGTACTTAAAAAAAAACTAGAATTAAAAATCACTTTATATAGCCGCTGAGATGTTGTTTTTCTGTCAGTCAATAAAGCACAAGCACAAAGGATAAAGTGAAAGCGAAGGACATAATACAGTTTCTTAAGATGTACGTTTGGTTTCTGATCAATTTATCTATTTCGGCTTCAGGGAGGGATTTTAATTGCACTTAAAAAAGAAAAACATGTTTTGTTTAACAAATTAAACAAACTTCTTTAACACCAGACAAATAATAAATGAAGAAATCACTACCTCCCTGATGCAACGTTGCCCTCTGTGGTTAAAACAGCCTAACTGAGAAACTTCTTCCAATATATATAGCTTCTCTAACATCAGTCTTAAGATAGTGTGCTCTGCTTTCAGCTATGAGATGTTTCTTACAGGTGGAGCTCGTTTTAAGCTACCCACTAGCATCTATGTGAGATGACGATCTAGGCTTGTTGGATATACTGCCGCGTTTCGGGTCGCTGTCATTTTGCAGGCTCCAGTTCTGCTTCAGCTTTATCTTTTATTTACAGGTGGTCTTACATTTTCCCCAAGCCCCAAGTGACACCAAAGCAAAAGTCATGTTGGGTTCTATGAAGGCGACATGACTGGGTTCTGCTGCAAACCATAGTATTATATTCCGTGAGTTGGTTATGTCGTTTTTTAAAAATTTCTTCTTCTTTGTTTTTGAATTATTTAGTTGAGAGTCACCCATGGCTCTGCAATGGGGCTAAAGCTTATATCACAATATATTTTTCAATATATTTGTGTTATTAAAATATGAAAGCCTCAGAAAAAATACTTAAAAAATAAAAATAAGAATTTCACTCGTTCAGTCTTGGGGCTAGAAGCTGTTACCTTGCAAGCAAGATAAAAAGTAGCAAGATTTGTGAATCCAACAGATGTGTTAGCCTTTATACAGAGAGGCTTTGAACCAATAAAATGTGGTGACCTGTATTACGTCTACCAGAGGTGGAAGGCTGAAGCAAAACAAACATTGCTGCACCAGTTTTACCCTCTATTTCTTTTAGAAAAACAAGCCAAAGGCTGCAATTTCTACCTTTGTGGATGGTTAAGATGTTTGCATGTTGCTTCCAACCAGATTTGGTAAGAATATGTGGTAAAACTTCTACTCTCACCCAGACAGAGTACACAATTTTATACGAGTGTTTGAATATCTAGCATTCAAAATTTCCCATAATGAACTTTGAAAAGTAGTGATCATCCATGGTCAGTAGATGAGCAGATATATCCAGAGGTCTCCTCTCAAAGCGTCATGGGATTTGTTTTGGGCGTGAGAGAGAACAAAGATGACCCAGGCACAGAGCTGGAGTCACGTGACCAACGGGGAGTGAAAAGTGATCATCTGCCCAAGTGGTCAGTTAAATAAGTTCACTATAAAGTCCTATATATAGTCCCTGCTCTATAAAGTGATTGAGGCTATTGCATGGTCGCAGCCACAGGCTCGATCTCATAGTTAAAAACATTGCAAAGCCATTATGTTGTAAACAATGTAATCATGCAATGTGATGTACACCGAAAATGAGGTTAAACCTCATATCACAGTTATTGAATACAATTTTACTGCGATACTTATT